CCCGAAATCTAGCTCTATTGTCCTATTTTGTTCTAACAATACCCATTTTGCTCTAACAATACCCTAGCTCTATTGTGCGAAAGAAAAAGCGATGATTGGGTCAAAAACAACACTTAATTCATAAAGTGATAGCTCCAGAAAATAGCTTTGAATTTCACAATCAAGCAAACATCACGTACGATTTCTTCAGCGTGCACTGATAAAAACATCTTCATTTCAGCGAATTCACCAGCAGCTAACGGTGAACCAACAGACTGCGTATGACATTCAAATTGCTGATCATCACAAACTGTCACATGGCTGTTGATTTACTTTTAAAAATTTCGTAGCTGTTCCCAATTGCAGAAAGCTCATTTGGAATGATGCTCATGATTGATATGAAGTTCGTGAATATGTTATTCGGAAATACTCCCTCATGAATTCCACACCACAGCGTATTTCTGCTGTGTTTGGATTTGATCCATATCAATATTTGGTCATTTTTTATTATTGAACTAGGTATATGTCATTAGTGGTTGCACTCGTCAAACACCACGAATAATGAGATTGAATGATGAAGAACAGAGCGGTCAAGTAACTGCATCGAATATTAATGCACAATGTAGATAGTGACGTTTCTATTCCAGTCAGACCCATCTGTTTCTGTTCTGTTCCTGTTCAGTGCCCAGAAACGGAAGAAGGATGTAAAGAATAGAGCGGAGCAGAACAAGTGAAAGACAAAATAGAACAGAATAGAACAGTTGGCCAAAAGTGTGGAACAGAAACATCACTACATGTAGCTAACATTAATTTGTGAATAAATCTGGATGCAGCATTAACGAGAGAGTACTTATCCATGTGTTTTCTTATAAAACAAAATTCTCATTTTGGTTTTTGTATTGATGTCCGCATGTGAACACCCTTATTGCATGCAACATCGTGCTGCAATGAGAACTGGAGTGCGCTTTTAAGCGGACCGCAAAATTGCAAGATCAACTCTAATAACATTAATAAAGCAGTAGTGAAGGTGTTAGCACTAACAAAGTTAACAGGGATTATACATCAGTGGCATTCGAATGAACAAATCCATCGAACGTTTTTTTGTGCTTCATTAAATGATTATGCGAATTTGTATGAAAACGGTATCAAATTCAATCGTTTTGTATTTAAAAATCATCAATTTGAAAATTTTGCTCCGATTCATCTCAGAAGTAATGTTGGTTTCGGCGGTTCCTGACTCAACCCTGAGTGCACATGTACCCGTCAGGATCACCATCAGACATGAGTGTTCGCACGTCGCGTTGTAAAAATATCTTCGACAGATGTTTTGTCGAGAGAAGTCTGCTTTGCCGATATTCGTTGAAAAAGAAATTTTTTGTCGATTGCTTGAGAGCAGAAGAAGAGCAACTGGTTTCGAGCAGATGCAAAATTACAGACAACTGCATCTCAGATGCCTACTTCTACCAAAATTCTTAAGAAACAATGGATGAACACTGAAAAATCGCTGAATTTGCGCTGAATCCAGTCGAATCATAATGAAACTTATAGCCTGCACATAACAGATAACCAATTCATGCGATTTTAACTAGGGTTTGCACGGGATCCTGAGATCCCGGGATTTAAGTTTTGAAAAATCCCGGGATTTCAGGATTTGATGAAACAGGTCAGTTTGCGTGAATTTTGATAGTATGCTCATCTTGAAGCAAGCCTTAATCATTCCCACCTCATTCATATGCACTCATCTTTGCTGTTTGCCCTCTATCATTGATGAATCAGCTATTATATGCACTCATCTTTGCTGTTTGCCCTCTATCATTGATGAATAGCTAAGGAAATAGACGCAATTCGGACGAATGACATGATCAACGACAGCTCGATGAACTTTTACGTAACATTTCATGGAATATTTAGTTGATTACTCTGCTCTTCATTGGTTTACATCACGCGCATCTGAATGCATTTCTAAGTAGACTAACAGAGATAATCACATTTTCTAATAAGAACCAAGAGCAACAAAATTCAACGAAATTTTGAGTTGTTTCCTCTAACGCTATTTTTGGTTTCAATATTCCATTTCTTAATTAAACTGCATGTTCTAAAGTCTGCAAGTCCTTTTACTTCGCTATTTGGTAACACTTTCATCCGATCTAAATGTACATTAATTCTCACTGAGTTCAATCATAGTGAGAATTCACTGTCGAAGTGAGGGAAATTCTTCCATTCAAAAGTATCTTAAGCTTAACTATCAAGTACATTTCCATGATCTCTGATCGAAATTATCAAAGATGTAAGTGCTCGATGGTTCAATGAAAATCCATTGCGGATTTTTTTTCACTTTTGAGATAAACTCTGAACTCTTAATTTTTTCAAATTTCAAATGATATAACTTATGCGATGCATTTCTCTCGTAAAAAATCGAAATTTCCGAAATGGCAGAATTCACCTGACGTTAGTACTGCGAGAAAATGGACTTGAAGCACTGCAAATAAGTGTTTGAGAATCAAGAATTTCATATTCACATGCAAGTGTACTGTTATTAGCTTAGACCCGAGACGACAAGATGCCTTAGCATAGAAAATGTAGTATGCCCTTATGACATTATCATTAGCAACATTATGTGAAATATTAATTTGAATTTGAATAATTTGGTTTCTAGAATTTGTTCAATAATTTGTTGAATTAACAAATTTCTGATTAATAATGAACATATTGGTTCGAAAAAAAATGTGTTTGAACATGTCCCGCATCGATATTACAAAATTGTTCGATCCCGGGATTATCCCGGGATCAAAAATCGATCCCGGGATTGAAAAAACGCCGGGATTTTGCAAACCCTAATCTTAACTATAGCTGAACAATGATAACACTGATGTGTATGGAGGAAAAATGATATTGGAATAACAAATTTAACGATTGGCTTTTTTTTAGCTTCTTTCTTGGCCAACGATTTTCCCTCGAATATTCTTAAGTTTTTTTAAGTACGCATGTGTGAGCGAGCAAACCCAAATTCGAAAACATTCTTTCAAATGAGATGATAAAAACATAGAAAAGGAACTGTGATTTGTGAATTATGGTGAATGTAATGAGTGTTTTGGTGATCGTTCACCTCTGCATGCCTAACTCAGCCACCTACTATGTAGACTGATATTGAATATGGATTTCATTATTATTTTACCAATCTCTTCAATATAAACTCCTCTTTGAACGACCATTGCAAAATAAGAATGGCGAGAAGGATGAAATAATGATCCTCTCTCGTCGTCGCCTCAGGTCAATCTGCTCTTTTCTCGTATCCACTCAAAATTATGTCGTTCTTGATCCCATCTCTTTCTCATCTCAAAACTGTCGCGAGTCGCATCTCGTTAAATTCTTACATATAGTCACTTCACGTTACATAAGCATAATTACAAACTAACTCCATATAATTGTTGACCTTCCGTTTGCAAATCGAAAGGCATGGAATTGTACTGTCATATGAGCACTTCACAACTTCACCACTTCTACAGTTGATCCTTTCGACACCAGCAGATGCAACAACATATGTGAGCGATTTTAGGCAGTAACATGCTCACCACGAATCAGCAAGGAAAATGAGTTGCACTTAGGGTTTGCAAAATCCCCACGTTTTTTCAATCTTGGGATCGGGATTTAGTCTCGGGATCGAACAACTTTTGAAATATCTATGCGGGACATGTTTAAACACATTTTTTCGAACCCATATGTTCATTATTAATCAGAAAGGAGCTAATTCAACAAATTATTGAACAAATTCAAGAAACCAAATTATTCAATTACAAATTAATATTTCACATAATGATGCTAATGATCATGCCGCAAGGTATAATGCATATTCTATGCTAAGGCATCTTGTCATCTCGAGTCTAAGCTAATAACAGTACACTTTCACGTGAATATGAAATTCTTGATTCTCAAACACTTATTTGCAATGCTTCAAGTGCATTTTCTCTCAGTATTAACGTCAGATGAATTCTATCGTTTCGGAAATTTCGATTTCTTACGAAAGAAATGCATCGCATGAATTATTTAATTTGAATTTTAAAAAATTACAAGTTATCTAAAAGTGAAAAAAAAACATCTGCAATGGAGTTTCATCGAACCATCGAGCACTTACATATTTGATACTTTCGATCTGGAATCATGAGAATGTACTTG